GAACTGTAGCACCTGAGTATGTGTTTTGAAATTTAATCTTCTGATATACGAGGTTAATAAGTGTCCTTTTGTGAACAGTCGGGTTCCTGTCCTGTCCTAACCTTGGTTTGAGAAGATGAATGAAAATTTTCAGTTATATATACCCTTTGAAAATATACTCTTCTCAAAATTTATTCTGCTACCCATGAATCTTCTAGCATTATTTTTATCTAATTGCATTTGTGAGTTTCTTCTAGTATTTGTGATTTGGTTTGACGATATTATCAGTAGATTATTTCATGCTTTAAGTACGGTGCTTATCTTATTGGCACAGGTTTGAGCAGTATGTAGATTATGCTCTTGATGTTCCGATGTATTTTGTCTATCGGAAGAATAAGTATATCGACTGTACTGGAATGTCCTTCCGGGTTTTTACCTATCTTAATCTCACTGTATATTTTGCTATTTTATATTATGTGTTTTTCTTTGTAAGAATGCTAATATTTTGATTTGAATCATCTGCAGGATTTTATGTCTGGAAAACTTCCTTGTCTTCCGGATGAATATCCAACCCTCAATGATTGGGAGAATCATCTGACGACAATATTTCCAGAGGTCTACTCCGAGATTAGTTGGTTAAAAACTTTCTATCATTCAGTAAATTTGTTGTTAGAATCATATTGAAAGCATCATAAGTTTCCGCCACATCTCTTTTCAGGTCAGGCTTAAAAGATATTTGGAGATGAGGGGTGCTGATGGAGGACCTTGGAGGAGACTATGCGCATTGCCTGCATTTTGGGTACTTTTCTTTATTATACAGTTGTGAAATATAAATATAATTGTTGTGTTGTTGGGTTTGAAGCATAAGTTTTCTTAAAAAATATCTCGAAATCAGATCATACACGCAGACACAAAAAAGAAAAGAATTTTGATGATAGCAAATAATTCTGTTTATTGTTGGTAAATAATGTATCTTGAAAATATAGAAAGTGTGCATTTGTTTATTTCCATTTTGTGGAGAAATTTTAATTTGCTTACAAACTTAAAAGAGGGGGCGCGGGGTTCAGAGTGACAAGCAATACATTTTTAGATGTTTCTGCTTCAGCATTCCTGGTCGGCTCTGATTTTATTTGTGTTTTGTTGTTGAATCATTTCACCACGATATATTAGCTATGCTATTATTAAATTTCAGGTAGGCATCTTATATGATGACATCTCTCTACAAAGTGTTCTGGACATGACAGC